CTATCGGCTTTTTTGAACGGCTACAATAAACCGGATTATTTAATTAAATTACGGAAGCAGTCATTCAACAATTCTCCGAATCATGAAATTACATGTACTTGATTATTTATACTCTACTTTCGAACACAATATATTTTTATATAATTTTTTTTTAAAATTCTATATACAAGTGTAAACATGATTAAATGTTTTTAAACATGGAAATTAAACTGATAAAAGAGGTTTTAAATATCAATCTACACAACTTTGATTATATGTATATTAAATGTTTTTTAAAGCAATTCTGTGTGGTTGATGATGTTAGGTTCTAATCGTGTTATCTATTTTTAGGAAACATTTAACTTAATTGTGTGGGTTCGATTGGTTTATGCAAATAGATTTATATTCTTATTGAGTCAAAGTTCCAAAGTTACGTTGATGCATACGATACATTTTTAGAGAGGTTTTGTAATTTTTTTTCACTAAGTCAAATATATTTAACAATGAAAAAAACATATTTTATGTATAAAGGACTAATGGACTAATATGGCATTAATAACATTTCACATGCAGATAAATAACATAACACAAAGTCTGATTTTCCGACTACTGCACGATAAAACGGTCAAACAGTCAAATTATCGCTATCGTTATGATTTAATTTCGCAAATTTAGAATGACTAAAAGATATGGAATAAAAGAATAAATTATATTGTAAAAAAAAAATCTTTCATATTGTTAATATTCCTCTAGGCAAGAACAAAATGTTGTCATAACTTCATAACTAATGCGTTATTAACAAATCTTTCCAAAAAAATTCCAAGTTCGGAATTTGGTAACAAAGATTGACGATCGACTAATTTAAATGCGTTTAAAAAATCACATTGTGTATGAAGATATTAGGTAGGGATTTTAGATGGAGAAATTTCTGGTCCGATGACGATGATGCCACTTTTGTAAAAACTTATGCATGAAATTAATTTTTTCTTTTTGCGCGTTAAAATTCCTTGCTATTGCGGAATGAGCTTCGTATGATAATTTATGAGAACAAACAAAGAAAAACACGAATGAAGGAGTAACTTAGAAGAGATAAAAAAGAGTGTAAAAATATCAAACAAGATATATGCGTTATCAACAAATTGGCAAAGAAAGCTTTAATTATGTATCGTATATTTTAACAAGATGTTAGGGTTAGAGCCAGTGATAAATGAGAATAAGAATCAATTGTTAAAGTTCGTAATTATCGAATAGGATTTTTAGATCATATATTATTATTAATCATTAAGAACTACAAGTAACATACAGCAAGTAATTATTTTATTGTCGAATTATATTTTTCTAATTACTCAGATATTAGCATTTTCGCTATATAAGCAGCTCATTTTTCGCAACTCACAAGAAGCACGGAATTGCGAAATGTCTAACGAAGATTCCAAGTATTTTTTTATGAACACATATTCATATGATTCCCCTAATATTAATCCTCAAGCAACACTTGAGGAGATTATGAAAAACCCACCTTTGAAACTCTCTTTACCATTAGAGAAACTGCTCGCTCCACGTAAACAAAGAAGAGGATCGCAAAAAC